AAAAAGGTCAAGGAGAGCACTCTGGTAATAAATAGGGCGAGGCCGGCAGGCAGGCTACTGACGTGGGGAGAGCAACTTTACCTGAACTTTTCTTTGGGGGAAAATCTCTTCAAAAGGCTCCCAGATTAAAGCGCAGATGTTCCTCTTTGTGGGTTGGATTCTGAATTCTGAAGCTTGCGGGTTGGAAGGAAGCACAGACATTTTTTTTTTTTTTTTAAATCCCAGGAACTCAGAGACTCAAAGGTTTGAAAGTCCCGCACCCACGGAGATTTGCCGACTGAAAGGGCCGCAGCCGAACCCGGTCCCGAGGTGTGGAGACCGCTGTCATCAAGGGTAAGAAAATGGAATGTCTCTGCGTGGAGGTCAAGGGCCCTCTCTCTACTGAAAGGTTAAAAAAAAAGTAAGGATGACCTAAAATCTAGGTATGAAAAGATTCTAGAGAAAGCAGCTCTTTCTTGTCAAAGTGATGATGTTCCTACGACGTGAAGCCAGGCCTCCTTGGAGACTGACTTTAGGGGACTCTTTCAGCTGAAACGCGCTGGTCAAAACCTCCGGCCCTTCCTGACATCTATTAACTTTTTAGTCTTCAAGGCACTGGGCTATGCCGTGGTGGGCGTGTTGCGTGGGATCTGGCGGCGTTTTTTCCATTGTAATCGCTGAGATCGGAGGGATCCAGAGTCCGCCGCTGCCCGGCCCCACCTGAACTTCTGGCATATTCGTCACATCTGAAACTTTCCCCCAATAACCAGGATTTAAATGAAGCAAGATGGTCAAATTAAATTGATAGGCAGAAAGATTCACATGGAGAGACCATAGACGCAGGAGAGAAAGTGAGGAGAAAAAGAAGAAAGAGGGGGAGGGGGAGGAAGACAAAAGGGATTTTGCAGAGCCCTGCTTTGACACAAAGACCTTTCAGAAGTCCTTATTAAACAGTATCCCGGACCTGTGTGATTTTTGCAAAACCAGCTGAAGCTAGGAAATTAGTCTCTATTACACGATATATAAGCCGAGTGGCTCTAATGGTCTATATGTGCCTTAGCCCCATATGATGCCTAGGCATGGGCTCGTTGGCCTGTGTTCGAGATACTGTCCGGACTCACAGTATTTATGCCCTGAGCTGGTGTTGCATTCCCGTTTCTCAGTAAAAAGCAGTATTTTTCTAATGTGATTTAAGCAGGAGGTTGGAGCTCAAGGCATGAAGCAAACTTGATTTAAAAAAATTTATTATTTTTAGAGAGAGAGGAAGGTAGAAAAGGAGGAGAAACATCAACGTGTGGTTGCCTCTTAGGCGCCCCCTACTGGGGACCTGGCCTGCAACCCAGGCACGTGCCCTGACTGGGACGAACCAGCGACCCTTTGGTTCTCAGGACTATGCTTCACTGAGCCACACCAGCCAGGGCTAACTTGATTTTTAAAACTTTTTATTTTTAAATCAGTTTAGGTTTACAGAGGAGTTGTAAAGATGAGAGGACAGTTCCCTAATACCCTTTACCCAGCTTCCCCTAAAGTTAACCTCTCATAATATGATGGTACATTTGTCTAAATTGAGAGCTTAACGTTGGCATAGTTCCATTAGCTGAATTGAGGTCAAGCCGTCTTGTAGGGCCACCGTAGTCAATTCAAGGTGCTGTTGGTGGCGAACTAGACAAACGCGCCCGTGAAGCAGAACCAGGGAGGAACGGTTCCGCCACATGCCCTGGTGGCTTTGCATGTGTCTGCATGGGCCACGCGACAAAGGCCCGACCAGCCACTGATCTAAGTCTCGGTGGAACACCCGTGGCCCTCCCGGGGGCCGGGGCGCGGGCGTGTAAGGGGCTGCCCTGAGGCTGCGGCGCACTTGCCCCCTGTGTCTCTTGGGAGGCTTCTGCGAGACACTTTCTTGTCGCCCCCAGGGCCCCCCGGGGTTGGAGACTCCCTGCCTTGCCCACCTCAGAGCGCAGCTGCCGACTGTAAAACCGCCCAGCGGAAGTCAAGATTCGGCTGCTTAGCAACGGGGCCACTGCTGCTTATATTGTCAGCAACTGGTCCCTTTTGTTTAGGTGTTGTCCTTTGTGGCGTGTGGGACAAGGACTGCGAGGAATTGGCACCTTTGGCTATTCTTCTGTTTACTGTTCATGTAAGTGATAAATGGTCTGAATCAAACCTCGGGGCTTTACCTGTGTGCACTTGGCGGGGGTCCAGAAGTAAACCTGCACATGTGCAGGCAGTGGATTTTCAACCCAGGTGCAAGGTCAATTTAGCAGAGAAAGGAAAGGCTTTTTGACAAATGGTGCTGGACCAATTGGATAGCCACACGCAAAATAGGAAAAAAACTTCAATCCATACCTCACGCCATACTCAGAAATGAACACAAAATGGCTCATAGACTTAAATGTAAGATATAAAATTATTAAATTTACAGAGGAAAACACAGGAGGAAAATCTTGGTGGCCCTGGGTTAGGCAAAGGGTTTTCTAGCTACAGGTCCCCAGCGCAGTCCCTGAAAGGAAACAATGGACAAGCAGAGAGCCACCAACATTAAGCTCTTCTGTTCTTCAAAAGACACTTGTAAGAGAAGAAAATGTAATCCAGAGACTGGGGGTCATATTTCTACATCACGCGTCTGACAAGGGACCTGCATCCAAAGCATACAAAAGAAATCTCAAAATTTAAGAATGAAACAAACAACCCAGTTTTTAAAATGGCCACAAGATTTGAACGGGCACGTCACCGCAGAAGCTCTACAGAGGGCAGAGGAGGCCATGCAGAGGTGCTCAGGGTCACTTGTCATTAGGGAAATGAGGATCGAAACCTCACACCTACAGAACGTCTACAGCTAGAGAGTGGCCAGACCCAGCCCTGGGGAGGGTGTGGCAGTGGAAATAGTAACGGGAGGGGGGCGGGTGTGGGATCGGAGCCCGCCCCACCGGTCCCTTGACGCTGTTCCTGCAGGCGCGGGCTCTGACTGACAGGCAGCTTGTAGGCGAGCCGTGTGTGTGTAAGGATCCGGGGAACTGCCTTGAAAAGATCCAGCCCGACCTTCAGGCATCCCAGCTCCGGGAGATGTGCTGACCTTCAGCCATGGAGCCGGGATGACGAGGAGCCAGGATGACGCAGGCGGGACTGTCACCGGCCTCCACGGAAGGGACTGGGCCGTCTGCACGTGGAGAGCTTTGCAGCCCCCTCCCCGATCTCTTCGTCCTGTTCCCCCTCCTTCTAAAAACCTCTACCTGCACTGAGGGGGGAGATGGGCTTTGAGTCCCCATCTCCCCGGGAGGTGGTCTCTGAGATGTGAGTCCCCCATCGTCCAGGCGTCTGGCGCCTGCAAATAAACCCCTTTCCTTTACATCAGCACCTGCCTTTTGAGTATTGGCTTTCGTAGTGGCAGGTGGCTCGACCTGTGTCCGGTTACAAGGATGTGAAGCAGCTGGACCCCCTGCATCTCTGGTCGGCCTGCACAATGACACAGCCACTGCGGACACCAGCGTGGCAGTTTCTTAAACGGTTATCTTTAATCGCATCCTATGACCCAGCCCTCCAGGCCAAACAAAGCCGGTGCCCATACAAAGCCCGGTGCACAGATGTTCACAGCAGCTTATGAGCAATGGTCGGAAGCTGGAATCAAGGCGCTGCCTTTCAATGTAGGAATGGTGGACGCCTTGGACCGTCTGCACCATGCAACGCCTAGCAGCAACGACCGGGAGTGAGTAAAGGACATGTGTGACAATAGGGTGATTCTCAAAGTAACGATGGGGGGTGAATGATGCCGGCAAAGAAGATAGATTCCATTTATATAGGGTTCTCGCCAATTCAGACTCAACTACAGGGACGAAGAGCAGATCGGTGGGTTAATGGAGGTAGCAACGGGGCCAGGGAGCCTTTTGATGGTGATGGGTGAGTTCACACTCTTGATTATGGGGATGGTTTCACGGGTGCATAGACGCCTGTCCAAGCGCATCAAATTGCACATGTTAAACACGTGCAGCGCATTGCATACGGTTACACCTCAGTAAAGCTGTTTCTAAAAAATATATACATTGGTACAACACTGTTTCCTTCGGTCACTCTCAAGACTCCTGGTGGCCTGCCTGCCTTTCTGCGTCCCCACTCTGAACTCAGGTGACATCAATAGGTGGGGCCCCGCCTTGGTCACCCAGAGCCCAGCAGTCCCGCCAGCCTGTGCTTTGCTCCACATGGCGATTTGATTTCATTCTCAGTCCAGAGATAGAAGGCCAAGAAATTACGGCCCCGAGGGCAGGGACTGGGACATTTTGACTAAAAGAAATGTCAAGATGACACACTGCACGCCAAGAAGCCAAGCATAAATCGTGTGCATTGACACGGTGGCCCCAGAGCCTCTCCCGGGCCCACCAGACCCCATGGGGACAGACATCCAGCAAGGACAAACGCGGGCTGGGCGCGGCAGCTGCAGAACCTCCTGAACCCCAGCCCCTGGGCGGGCGCTGGGATGGGGCTGCTGCGCCCCAAAAATTCCGAAAGATGCCGGGCCCAGCTCGGCTTCCTAGCGGGACTCCGAAGCCCCGCCCGAGGAGCTAGCCATTTATGTCACGCTGTGACAATTATTCTGCATAAAATTATCATTAAAAACTCTAATTTCTCAGCCTCCCACCCCGCCAGTAGCCTTTTAGCTCTCTCCAGCGTGCGTCTGCGGGCCTGATCAGCCCGCTCATTAGCTCGGTGTGGCGCCGCCCCCCCGCGCTCGCAATCAAGGCTAATTACACCCCCGGGAAGGGCCGAGCGGGGTCCCGGCCGGGCCCGGGGGCGGGGCGGCGGCCCAGGGGCGTGGCCAGCTGGGGAGCCACGGCCTGGCCAGGCGGGGTCCAGGCGCTGGCCGGTCCGAGGTCTGGGAGGGTCAAGGGTCAGGGACCATGGTCAGGGTCCGGGGTCCCCGAGGCGGGGCGGGGCGGGGCGGGGCCCACAGCCCCGGGGGCGGGGCATCGGGGATGGGCGTGGCCTGCCGGCCAGCCGCGGCCTGGCTGTCCAGGTGGCCCGTCACTTACCCGAGCGAGGCGGCCGTGCGGCAGAGGTGCAGGGGCGCCAGGCCCTCGGCGCTGAGCAGGTCCGGGTCGGCTCGGTGTTGCAGCAGCAGCTGTGCGCAGGCCGCGCGGCCCCCCAGGCAGGCCTCGTGCAGGGGCCCGCGCCCGCCGGGGCTGGCGTTGGGATCGGCGCCCCGGGCGAGCAGGTGGCGCACGCAGGCCGCGTGGCCTCGGGCCGCGGCGATGCACAGGGGCGTGGTGAGCTCGCGCTTGTACTCTAGGGTCCAGAGACCTGGGGCGGGGGTGGAGAGGTAACGTGAGCGCGGGGTGAGGGGGGCACCGGTGGGGGCGATGCCCATTAGGGCTGAAATAGGGTGGAACCATCTCTTACAGGTAGGTAGGGGCCTGGTGGGTGTGTGAGCAGATACACAGAGATTCTGAGGGGGGGCAGCGAAAGCGGAGAGACCCACGTGGACGCGCGGTGGAGGGGGAGGGGGTCGGGGGCAGCTACGGAGAGAGTGGAAAAGACAAACAGAGAGGGCAGAGAGCTAACAAGGGCAAACCGGCGTGCAGGAAGAGGGGCCGGGGGGACACGCGCGTAGAGGGGAGCAGAGCACAGGTCCCCTGGGAAGGAGGCAGAGATGGCGACTGAGGGGCACAAAGAGGCGAGGAGACGGAAAAGGCCACGAGGGAGCCAGGGAGAAGCATGATGGCTTTGCCAAATGTGGGGGTGACAGGGAGCCATTCGAGACATTGAAAGCTGGCCACGCAGGGTGGACAGGAGAGGATTGAAGTGTGGATTCACGTTTTCCAGGCTCTGAAGGAGAGGCCGCTGCCGGCAGTGGGCTTTTCCGGAATCCAGCTCCTTCTCATCAGCCCCAAATAGACCCTTTATCATGAAGAGGAGAAGGCAACAGACAACACAGACCGACCCGCCGCGCCGGCGCTGCTCAAGGAGCGGACTCAGAAAGTTGGGTTGCCTTGGAAGGGGCCGCGTGTCAGAAGCGCGCTTTGATGTGGCGGGCCACATTCAGCACAGCCCAGGTTTGTTTCTCTGCGCTTTTTAGGGTTTTGTGTGTGTGCGTGCGTGCATGTGTGTATAGATTGCTTTTTCTTGCAGGATGAATGGAGCGGGCGCCATACATTCTACTTCTCTGAAAACTTTGGGCTTTCAAAAGGCCCGTGGAAGGTTGTTAGCGGGCCCGAGTGCTCGTGGAAACGGGGGAAGCGGTCCCTGGTGAATACACTTCAAGGGGCAGGATTTCACATGGCAGAGATGCCTTCTGGTAACGATGGAAGAATCGATACTGTGTCTGTAATGAGCTGCTGAGGAGACCCTTTCCACAGGCCACCTCCTTCCCGGGACCCATGCTGAGCCGTTTTGAAAGACCACTCATAATTACCTCCCTGCAGAGTTCCGGCCTGCCTGCGTCCCCAAGGCCCAGCCTGGGGCTGCTGTGTGCTCCGTGGGGCAGTGTCGGGGGCCTGTCGTCCTGGCAGTGGATGAGGGTGGCCGGAGGCCCCAGGGATGGGCGCCTGAGGGGTAGCGGCTGCCTTCCCAGCGAGGACCGTGGCTGATTTGGAGCCAGGAGGATGGAGATAGTCCCCGGAGAGAACAATGACCTACATTCCTGCTGAGACAGCTCCTGGCCCTCCGTGCTACTCATTGTCCTGCGGTAGGAAGCCTACTTCCTGGGGGACAGGGAAGAGGGCACCCCCTTCTCCAGGGCGTGCTGAGTCCCCAGCCCGACGCCCACCCTAGTGGCCGTTCACCTGCCCTGTTCCCCGGTCTTCCCGTGGACTGACCGAAGGGGCCATGGAGGGCACCCAGCTCAGGCCTGGATGGGGCCCGCTCGCTCGCCCAGGTCCTAGGAGATGGCGCTGAGCATCCAGCCTTCCAGAGAACCCGGGTTCTGAGCCCGTTCTCAGGGTCGGAAGCCTGAATCAGCCTCCTGTAATTCCCGCCCCCACCCCCAACGCTCTGCCAAACGTCGGGTGGCGAGGGACTCGGGAGGTGCCGGGAGGATGTGGGCTTCTCCCGCACGGCCGGCGGGTCCTGCTTGACGCCGGGTCCCCCGCGCCGGCGCTCTCCTTGGGCTCACGCTGGATGGGGCCGGCGTCCCATCGGGGGCTGGGCCAAGGGCGCGGCCACGGCGACCCTGCTTGGGGATCCCCATCCCCCTGGAGCTGGCCACCAGGAAGGCATCACACGAAAGGCAGCAGAGGTGGGGGCCCGCTGTTCTCAGACAGCATGTGGTCATGTCTGCTGCTGGGCCAGCTGCCGGGGAAGACAGGCAGGACAGGAAGGGCGGGAACCCAGCAGCCTGGGGCACAGCTGCCCCGTCCTGCCAGCCCGCACCGGGCTGCGGGGCAGCACCAGCTCCCCGGCTCGCCCTTCCCTTCGGACAGCTCCTTCTGCCTGTCGGTGTTCCCTAGCTTCCTGTCCCGCGGGCGCACCATAGGAGCGCCGCGGCTCCCAGGGCTGGAAAGACGAAGGAGGGAAGAGGAAGGAGGGGTGGACCCCAGGCATGGGTGACATTAATCTGTATTTGAAATTGCAACATTTGAGCGTGCAAGTGTTCAGGGCTGGGAGGCATAACTTAGAAAAGTAAACGTTAATCAAGCGTTCCAACAGCTGGCATTCTTGACTGAATTGCCACCCAGCCCTTGGGGGATACTCGTGCCCTGCCTGGACCGGCGGGAGGGGCGGAGCTCCAGGACCGCCCCGGGACACCCTCGGCCGGGAGGTGGCCGGACAGGAGAGCACGCGCCTCCCCACGGCCCCTGCCCATCCCGGGCACGGCCGTGACAGCATGGCGGTTTTCCTCCCGTGGGAGGTACAAGCAGAGCTGTGTCAGTGCTGCGGAAGCCAGCCGCCTCCCTCGTCCTTTGCCAGGGCTCATGAGTTGGGGACACAGGATGCTGACCGTTGGCTCGCTGACCACAGTCTCAAATGCTCTCGGTCTGGCAGAGCCACTGTGGCTCCGACGTATGACCCCCTTGGTAAATGTGTTGCATCTGGGCACCCGGAGCAAAGGGAGCCCAGGGCGGAGAGCCAGGCCGGAGAGCCCACTGCGGCCTGGGCGTCGGAGGGGCTGTCCCTCCTGGTCCCATGAGGGGCGTCTCCCCTGGGGGGGTTTCTCGCCTGCCCAGCGCGTAGTGGTGGTCAGGCAGCAAGAGCACCCTGAGGCGCACGCCGCAGGGCCCTCTGGTTCCTTCGCTCGCCCTCCCCGTCTCGAGGTCCCCTCCCTTCCAGGAGCACATACTGGGAACTTGCCCTCTGTGGGCGCTGGCTGTGACCCAGCCACCCCGCTGTGGCCTGCTGTTCACGGACTCACAGAAGGACCTCACGGAGCCACACGCCAGGCGTCGGCCCCAGGCGCCCTCGAAGGAGGGGCGCTCCTCCTCCGTCTCCCGCCCCCAGGCTGCCCGAGGCCAGCGCGGGCTGAGAGGCGCCCGAGCCAGTGTCAGGCAGTCACGTCCCACCGCCACCTCGGCCTTTCCACTGTGGCCTCTTGCACCTGCCACCGGACACCTGCGCCTGAGAACGCCTGCCCGCCGAATGGCAGTTGCAGCCACCCTTTGCGTGTGTTCCCCTGCGAAAGCGGCCTGCCCACGTGGGGGCTCTGGGGCAGAGGAGCGTTAGCAGCTCTGTGCAGCGTCGACGCGCGGCTGTAAAGGAGCAGGGCTACCTGACAGGCCAAACGTGGCCGGGGCGTTCCCCTGCCACTCCATCTCCTCCTCCCTGATCTCAAACACCATGTTGGCGTCCTGGAAGAACTGGTCCATGAGCGGGGCCAGGCGGCGCAGGTTGCCCGCGAGCAAGGCGGCGTGGAACTCGCGCAGCGGGGACGCGGCTGCTGCCTGAGGCCCTTTGTCCATCCTCTCCAAGGTCCGAAGCTGCCCCCTAACCGGCTCTGGCCATCTCTCCATGGCAGGGCCGTTGATCTGGCGGGGTTCTTCAGGAGGGGACAGATGGTCTCATGGAGGGCGAGCTATTTCCATTGTCATGACTCCATTGTCCTCCAGCTGGGGCTTGTGCTGGTGTATTTATAACTCCTGTGGGCTCCAGGGAGATCAGGGTTACTTGATATGACCAGTGTCGTGTGACCACTGAGACGCCAAAGTGCTCCGCCGCCCCCTGGGGATCAGGCAGGGGTGGGCAAAAGCGGCTCACAGCTGTAAGAAGATGAACAGTGCCAACGAGTAACGCAGGGAGGGATAAACACAAGCCTGAGCCGCCCCGCGCACTCGTGGGCCTGTTTTTGCCCAGCACTGTGCGGACGTGAACTCCATGGACGCGCGCGCCTGGGCGTCTCCGGAACAGGTCTCCGCGCCAGGACGGACGCCCTGAGGTGAGCGGCCCTTCTCGCTCCTGCTTGGTGGGGTGTCCCCTTGCTTTTTTTTGTCCCTTCACTTTCTTTGCTGCGGTGACCGTGGTGAGTGGATGTGCCTCCTGGGGCTGCGTCAGCCCCGAGGACGTGTGAGAGAGGCCCAGCTGGAGGCCACAAGGCACGCTCCGCACGAGGGTCGCTGGGGGGATGGGGGCCCCGCAGGGCGGGCCGGAGACCGCAAGGGGCCGCGGTGGTCTGCGGGGTCCTACCGGTTACTGAGAACGGGGCCCGAAATGCGCACTCCTTGCTGGAGATGAGAAATGCCACCATTTTAAGAAAAGGAATGAATGGTAAGAGCCGTTCATTAATAATTCACTTGCTACAGTTTAGTACGGGGCTTTATTTTATAGTCTAAAAATTAATAAGGTCATTTTTTCTTATAACACAGTTAATACACCATTCTCCTGTCCTTTTTCCAATTCTTGTTTTCTCCGACTAGGAAGCCGGAACGGGCCAGTGTGGTTGGGCTGTGTGATCCTCTGCCGTGTCCATGTGCACTATGATAAAAAAGCATGGGACCAGGGACCAGTGTGGGGCACTTGCCCGGGACGGTGACAGGGGGTGACGGCAGAGTTGTGAAGGACAGTAGCCACCGTCCGCGAGCACCAGCCTCAGACCGCGGGCCCTTGGGATCCTGTTGCTACGGGGTGTTGGAATCAAACAAGCAACAGAGAGACCCAGGACAAAAGTCCCAAAGTCCATGCAGGAACAGGGTTCGTGGGCGGTGCCTTCCTCATCTCAGCTGAACCTCTGCAGCTGCCTCCTTGCCCGTGTCTCCCTCCCCCAAACCCCCCCGCAGCCGCCGCTGCCACCGCGCCGCGCCCCTCTTCTCTCTGAGCCCCGCAGCCGGAGCAGCCACCCTGTGTCGGGCCCTTTGCTGGGAGCAGGAACCTGTGGCCTCTTTCACTGAGATTCTCTGCAACACATCGTGGGCCCAACAGAGCGCCCTTGACCTTCCTTGGGAGGGGAAAAGGGCGCCGGGGAGTTTAATGCATTTATACTCTATTAATAAGGACGTGCATTCCGTTGCTGCAGACCAGACTGGCAGGCACAAATGTTTCCGAGCGCAGATGCCTCCGCGCGGGGGGCCTGCGGTCCCCCAGCGGTGCCTCGGTCTCGTAGGCTGACCCGCTGCCCGGCACTCTCGTCCCCCCGCCGCCTGCCTGGGCCCAGCCGTTCTCCTTCAACGCTCGGTCCAGCTCCCCTCCCCCCGAGGCTCGTCCTGAGGTCCGTCCTCACACCCGGTCCGCGTGCCAGGGGCGTGGCTGGCTCCTGCCGGGCGCTTGTCTGCGCCTCCACTGGACTGCGAGCTTCTGCTTCCTTCGCGCATTCCCCGCGCAGCAGGCAGGTCCTCATGCACATGGTTGAAAGGACAACTAGACCCGACTCTTTGAAATATGCTCCACTGCTCGTCATGTCCTCAGTGGTTCTGCCTCTTATTCCTGGTCACCTGCTACCTTCTTCCCTTGGGGAACAGCGCGCTGTGCAACCAAGGGCCAGGCTCCGATGTCGGGGCTGGGCTTCTGCCCGAGGCCCGTGGCCTCCCTGCACGGCCCACTCTCCTCACGTGGGAAGGGGCCTCGCCAGCTTCCAGAAGGCGGCCTTGCCCGCTGTTTGCTCTATGAGGGCTCCCTGAAACCTCATTTCACGGGTTTTCAAGTTTCCCTCCCTGGTCTCCGCAGCTGCAGCAGCGAGGACAGAATCAGTGACTTTAATGGCAATGGCAGGGAGTTCTCCAAAGGTCTGCCCTGTGCCTGACACATGCAGGGCACGGCGGGCAGCGTGGCGGGGAAGCGCATACAGACCACATCTGTGGGGAGCAGGCGGCCGCCTTGGCACGTTAGAGGCAGGTGCGGGCGGAAAGTGGGGGATGGGAACACCACGGAGGCCACTGCTAGTCGCTGTGCCCTGCGGTGAAGTCCCCTGCCGCTCCCTTTGCGCACACACTCTGCACATGCTCTATTCTTTCCAGCAGCAATACTAATTCCTTGGGCACTTCGTGTCTCTGAGCACCACCCTTTTGCCATGGGACCCGTCTCAGGCTGTTAGGAGGTCGTTCCCGAAGGGCTCGCCCGCGCAGAGCGGTATCTGATCCAACCTGAGCTCGCGCGTGACTTCACGCTGCAGGTCTGTTGTACCTGCTATGTTTTGTCATGGGCTATTTTTAAAAGGGGCGGGGATACTGGGGAGAGTCCAGAAACAAGAGCCATTCCACCTGCGCCCTTTGCTAAATTTAGCTTTCCAAGCATTGTATTTGTGAACAGCGCCCTAAATTTCCAAGCCTGACTTCAGGGGGCGGGGAGTCGTAGTCCAGAAAGGCTGGGTTCTTGTAAAAGTTTTAAAAATAGCTCGTGGTAGACAGCGTTGGTCTTGCAAGTAGGCCATGCCACCATTTCAGGAGCGTGGTAGAGGTGTCGTTTTGTTTTTTATCCTAAACCAAGAACATGATTATTGATTTTAGAGAGAGGGGAAGGGAGACATTGATACAGAAAGAAACATCGATCGGTTGCCTCTTGCACATGCCCCAACCTGGGACTGAACCCACAACTCAAGCATGTGCCCTGACTGGGAATGGAACCTGTGAACTTTTGGTTTATGCACAGAATGACACTTCTACCAACTGAGCCACATCAACCAGGGAGGTGTCCTTTTTTTTAAGGAAGAGGCATAGCTCTATGCATGACTATTCCATTAAAAAAAAAAAAGTAAAAACCAAACAACAACCACCCCGCCCCACAAATACCTAAAAACCAATCCATTCATTCATTTATTTGTTCAATAAACATTTATGGAATATTGCATTGCAAGGTGTGTTTTTAGGATTCTGAGACAAAAAATACAATAATTCTGCCCTCAAGGGTCACCTAGGAAAGAACAGTGACCAGAGAACTGCCAAACACAGAGCTCTTTAGGCTTCCTTCCCGCCAGCTGAACGGTGTCCCTCTGCTACGGGCGAGCCACACCGGTCCCCTGCCCAGCACTCTTGGTTGGCCTCTGGCCTGCCTCACACCAGCCCTGCCCACCAGCCCTTGCTTGGACCAAGCCAATTTTTTTTTCCTCATTTTAATCTTCCACATCCTCCTGAGCTCAGTCAAGGCCGATACCTACCCTTCAAGAAGCGACTCAAGTCTCATTTTCTCTGCCTACCTCAGTCCACATAGAAACACTGCTTCTTCCAAGAGAGAATTTGTGTATAAAGTTGCTGAGCAATTGTTAACATCTTTGAGAGATTGTGATAAAACAGGAGAAGGACCAGGAAGCTAGAGTTTCAATTTTCAAGTAGGAAAAGAACTGGGTTCCCCAACGTTTAAATGGACATCAGTCCTGGACAAGATCCCCAAACGGATTATGAAAAATATGGAAAAAATTGGTAATGAAAAGTATTTAGAAAAGGGAGTGGGGCACTAGGTTGGTTTGTTTTCAAGCTGGCCTGTGATTGACATCACTGAGCGAGCCTGGCAACTCCACCGAGGACCTGAGGGGGTCAGCCATCATCTGCGCGGCCCTGTTCCACCTCCTCCATCTCTGCCTGCTCTCTGGGGCCACCACCGAAACCTTCCCCCTCGCGCTGTTGGCGTGGTTCCGCCCCGGCAGCGTGGTTCCGCGTATTCTCAGGCCCTGCCAGCTTCTGCTTCTGCTCCGGGGAGCTGGGCAAGGGGCCGCTTCTGAACAAACACAGCGCCCTGATTGAGAGAGGAGATTCTGATGAATATAGCTTTCTCTAACCCAGGATGATTCATACTTTTAGTTCTTTAGACGTACTCTCAAATGGCGCCCATTGGAAGGAGGAACCTCCTCTGTTTAGTGGGCCATAAAGCACACTAAGGAAATGCCGTTTCCGTGGACTTCGCTGCAGAGCGTGGCGTGAACTTGGAAGACAAAGTTCCAAGCAGGACAGGGCAGCCAACTTTTATCTGGTTGACCGAGTGCACAAGCTAAACCTCTCTAATAACAAGCCAGGTCGTCTGGTGCATTTGAATGTAATTTTGTAGAGGCTATTTTTGGGACTTAAATTAGCAGCATACTGCTTTGGCTGTAAAAGACATAAACACCGGTCCTCCATACCAAGTCTTGGAGGGTAGGTGGCTGACAGGGAGAGTGTTTGCTTCTGGATCAAATGAGGTGAAGGCAGGCAAGTCCACCTGGGAATGACGCGAGACACACCAGTGGTCCCGTTCAAACGGTCATTATCATTTTCACGTGCTCGCAAGGCCTTAGCATCCTGCCATTGAACAGGCGAGTGATTTTCTTTCCCGTGGAAGCGTCTGAGGACGAGCTCAGCGGGTGTCCGTGGACTAGCCCAGCTGAGTCCGCCATGGGGGGCAGGGGCAGGCCGCTTCTCCACGTGGGTACCTTTGCACGTGCTCCCGCCGTGAGCTACGGGCAGCGGGACGGTCGCTACGCCCTCGTGTTCTTGGGGAAGGGCGAGTGTGCGCGCTCTTT